GGGACCGGAGAGGACAAACGCGACTTCCAGCCACTGGGAAGAATTTGATTACAGCCCCGACAAGATTTAAGAAGCTGTGCGTCCTGAAAACAAAATCAGGACGAACAGGATGCATTATGTCAAAAACAGAAGGCGACTGAATTTTTCAGGAAGCAAATGTAAAATACAAGTTCCTGGTTCAAACTGAGATTTTAATCGGAAGCCCTGCCGGGACCAGAGAGGACAGACGCGACTTCCAGCCACTGGGAAGAATTTGATTACGGCCCCGACAAGATTTAAGAAGCTGTGCGTCCTAAAAACAAAATCAGGACGAACAGGATGCGTTATGTCAAAAACAGAAGGCGACTGAATTTTTCTGGAAGCAAATGTAAAATACAAGTTCCTGGTTCAAATTGAGATTTTTAAAAATCACCAATTTCGGGAATTTGGGGTTGACTTGTTAGCAAGAGATTGAATGAGTAAAGAAGCTGAAGATCTTAAGGATATGATGCGGAAGGCATGTATTTCTTCATTCCCCCAAGAGAAAATGACAGATTTTTCAGTGAGATTTAAAAAACTGTACAGGAAACGCATCCTTCCGATGTCAAACAGCGTAAAATGCTGCGGGATTTTGAGCAGAGGGTTGGAGTGTAAGACAGTGGACTCTGTTTCGGCGTCCCAGTGAGTGGCACGGTTCCAGACCCCGGCGCCAAAGAAAAGGAAACCCAGTTCAGCACAAAGCCTGGCTATTTAATGAATAACATTTAAATAATCAGAATAATTTATGCAAATGCTGTCTATCATCTTTTTCTTTTAAGAGATACTTAATTATGGTTACAAAGTAGAATACAAGTGTGGTCACCCGTGATCATGTAACAGTACAGTTTTCAGGGGGGGATGTTGAAGGGAGGAGAGGAAGGTAAATGGAGTGGTAGTGGGGTCTTTATGTAAAGTGGGAAGTTGAAAGATACAGTCCTGCTCATGAGGAAAGAAGACATTTTGTGAGAGTGTGGCCATATGGTTGCTAAAATAGCAATGAAACTATTAAACAGGGAGGAGAGTAGAAGAGAACAGCAGTAAGTCAATGAATGCTTAAAGACGGAGTGTCAGGTGGCATGTCTCAAAAGAAAAACTGAATACCTGGTATGTTGGAATATAGAGTTGAGATTTTGAATGTTTCAGGGAGTCTGGAGATGAATTAGTGGTCTGCAGATTTTTATTTTCATTTAATAAGAAAACAAAGCTGAGGCAGTTTTGAACCCAGGAAAAATAAAAGCTTGTTCAGGAACTACGCTGCATACCTCAACTGTGAGTAACACTCGTCATAAAGTCAGTCATAATTACGTTCGCACTGAATATGGATAGGACATGATTATGTAACATGGGAGGGGTGGAGAGGAGAGGTGTGTGTAATGGGGAAGAA